TGCTTGCTTGCTTGGGGTTTGGGGACTGGGTCCCTCGGCCCGTAAGCCAACCCCCTCGGTCCGCGTCTGTCTCGCTCTCTCTCTCTCTCTCTCTCTCTCTCTCTCTCTCCCTCTCTCTCGCTCTCCCTGTTGCGCTGGCGAGCATGCAGTAAGCTTGTATGCAACACACTGCGACAGATATCTGCATACCCGCTGGGAGGGATCTGGTTTGAAGTGAGTCAGAGAAGATGTGGAGCACGGTGCAGCCCAGGAAACGTAGGTCTCTCGTCTGCTCGCATCACAGCAGCACTAAGGTCTACCGCCAAATGCTGGCTTGGGGAGTACCATCCCTTGCCCAGCGCATAAAGGAAGTGGGGACTCGACGGTGCATGGACCTGGGATAAAAGCTAGTGCATCCTGTAAGGGCTCGCAGAAGGAACTGTGTTGCTGCCAAGGTGCCCTGAGTGTCTGCAGGTGGCTCAACAAGACCTTCGGCCCCCCGACAGATGCGACCAGCGAGAACACCTGCACGTCTGGGGGCCCCGATCTGCCTTCCAAATCCTGCCTGCCCCAGCTCAGACCCTTACGAAACCATGGTCTCAGGCCCTTGGGTCTCTTGCTCCTTGGCTGCTTTCGTTTGCTCTAATTGCTTCGCATGCATTTTCCGCTTTTCGCAGTTCGGACAAATGCCATCCTGAACAACCGCCCCATCCCCAGCGCCCATGTATGATATCTTCGCGAGTCATGTAACCTGTAAGAAACGCAGCACGCAGGAGGTGACACAAGCCCGGAAACAAACATAGTACATTCGCATACGCTCGTAAGCTATAGAATGTTTGGAGCTACCGAGAAAGACAGGGGGAAAGGATGCATGAAGAGTGGCAAGAACGAGCGAGAGCGGGAAGAGACAAAAATAGCCAGCTACTGTAAGGGTCAGCGTCGCTTCGCAAGCATGGCCTCTTTTTACTTTGAGCGGGGTTCACAGCTACATCTGCAGCCGCTGAATGCCCAATTTCAAGCCCGGCCCGCCCCCAAATTCAAGTACAAATAATTGAGCTTGGCTGAGTCGGTCATTCACTTCGGTTCTGCGAGGGTGCAGGCGCGTGGCATCTGAGCAGATGTGGTGAGACGTGGCTGTGAAGTCTCATCCAAGAGCAGCTGGCAGCTACAGTAGTAGTGCGTTGATATCTCAAGCATTGCATCTGGGCATCACCTCTAACGTGAAAGTTGTAGACAGCATGAGAGTGGTCGCCGCTGCTGAGGGTCCATATCAGCCTTTTCCTGGCTTCAACAGTTGCGTCAAGGACAAATGGAAGCGTTCCACCTTGTTCCTACATTGCATGTTGGAAAAGCTGTGAATGGCATCTCATTATAGCCGCCTCCATCGTATACATATTCTCCTCCACCCCCCAACACCAAAACCTTTGTTTCAGGGCCCCCCATGTGATGAGCCGGCGATGTCACCAAGCTGGCGAGACTCGCTCAGGATTCGATGGCATAGTGCAGCACCTCATGAGAAAATCACTCGGGGCCGCTGGAGCATGGACTAAAGTGAAAGGGATGCAGGCTCCTGCGGATACTTGCAAGCACTCGGGTTGAAATTATGGTGTGGGCTGCACTAGAGATGAGCTCGCAATGCTTGCTGACCACCTGCGAAAACTCCTAACCACCATGGACCATAATAACCTGGCGGTTTTACACCCCTTACTCCGCAAGCCACCCCATCCTTGCATCACGGAAGCCATGTTCCGAGCGCATTCTGTGGCGCCTTTCCTCATCCCAACCTCCGACGTTCGACCTGGACAGTATTGACTTCTCGGCCGAAGCGCCAGGAGTTCGATCGTCTTCTCTGCCAATGCCAACCTCCGAAGCCGAATCTTTTCGTCGAAAGATGTCCACTGGCTGTAACCTACTGGCACAAGTGACTGCCTCGTCCCACCTGAGCCTGTTCATACCAGCAAGCAGCAAGCCTCAACTAGCTTTATCCTTCGCCCACTGCAGCCCTGCCCCCTGTTTAGCTCCTACCTTTTGCTAAGACTCCAACACGCTGACAAACAACGGCCTCTCCGATGGTAGCATGATCAGACTCGCATGCATAAAGCGGCAGTATCTGTGCATCGCAGGCCCTCTTGTGCCGGTGGGCCGATCCAGGATGAGCTCGCTCGAGCCGGCGCATCCATTCACGGAGACGATTCGGTCGTGGACTGCAACCTCTACCAGCAAAGCTTCTTCTGTGTTGCTGGCACTTCTTCTGACATCTGCAGGCTTGGGACGGCTTCGAACCCCCAGGATGCTGGAGGCTAAGGTACGACCAAGTAGCCGACTGCTCCGGCATGTCCTCATTCCAGCTCTTGAGCAGCCCATTGGAGATCCGACTGATCCAAGGCACCGCAGATTTTGCTTTCCTGACAGTAGGGCTACAGGGAGTCCCCCACGGACCCACGGTGAAGGTAAATTAAGCAAACTTGATTGTTGCCTGCTTTTGCTTCTCCAGTCCAACGCTCGAGCATGCAGAAGCGCTACTGATACTGAGCAGCTTGAGTGCCCTTATCAAGGTTCGGGGCTTTACATCGACTTATAGGTGGCTCCAAACGAACTCCTGGTTCCGACAAAGACAACAAAACACTTCAGAATCCCACAGGTGCTAAATCGCCGACCCAGGCACTCACAGTCCACGCTCATGCCAGTGTCGCCGGGCAAATGCAATTTCACGAGCCGCGCCTGACAGAGGTCGTCTCACCGGGAACAACTGGAGCTTTCTGCTTGCAGGAATTCTCAACTTGGGGGTTCTCTGGCGCTCTCCCTTCCCGATTCAACCCAAGAACTCCTCAAAATTCCCCTGAGTGCTACGGCAGTCCAGAATGCCTTGATTGTGTGCAAAAGGTCACAGGTCCCCTCTCATACAATCGAAGAAACAGCCAACTCGAAAGCGCAAGCCGAGCGTGAACGCTTGCCTCCGGTCTTTGGACGGTGATGGTAAACAGCGTGAGGTCCAAGCCTCAATGTGCTTTCATCAGGACCATGTAGCTTCGGGGCCATCGGTACTGCTTGCTTTCGCAGGAAAGTGCAAGGTGTGGAACGTGAAAAAACGCGTCGTCTTTGCATTAAGGATTTGGACTCCCGCAACTCGGGCACTCCACGTGAGGCTGTTCGCCTCCCTAACGCCCGGGGATGACAAGTCCAAGGAACTGAGCAAACGCTCCATCAACTCTTCGCTCTCGCCACCTTCGCCGTTGACCTCCGTAACTCGGTCCTGTCAGCTCTCAGGGATGTGCCGGAAATTTCAGAGAAGCATCATCTGTCACGAATACACACAGTTGTGACACAAATAAAATTACATGTGAGCGACCTACCCACCAACCACCCACCACCCGCCCACCGACAGACACCGAGCGACACCGACCGACCGACCGACCAACCGACCAACCGACCTACCCACCTGCCGACCTACCGACCTGCCGACCTACGGACCTACCGACCGACCGACCTATCATGACACAACGGCAGACCAGTTGGCAGGGTTGGGAATCACGCCTGTGTTCGAGTAGCCTTCTGCGCACTGCCCAACTGTTGCAAGGCTACACCTAGGTCGTCCTCACGGGCACCGGCCATACAGCAGCTCATGTCCTATGTACGAAATACCTGGTGAAGTAAACAAGGTGCACAGGCACGACGCCGCTTGCGCTTATATCACTTGCGTCCGAGTTGCATATTTGCTTACCCGCTTTCCTTCGGGAGCGACCTGCTTCGCGCGCAGCATACTAATCACATTCTGCTTCGTTAATTCCCGGATCAAGCTCTACGGAGCGACGGAGCCGAATGAATGAGACGGCACTTCAGCACAATCTGCCATCGTTGGTTCAGCAAACTGTTTGTGATTTGCGGGTGGCCTTGCTGAGTTCTTGGTCACTTACAACTGCTCTGAATGCTGACGGCATGCCTCGTTCCACTCAGGAATGGCCCCTCGTCGTTCAATCGTCTTTACAATCCTTGGCCAGGCGTACGGGATTAGACTAGGCTCAGCGACCCACATGGCCCGATGCTTCTGAACAGCGAATGTGCTCAACACGCAGCAAACAGCAGTATCCTGACGGTACAAAGGAGTAGAGCCAGGAGATGAATCCAAAACCTTCATGTGCCTCAGCCATTCCAACATGTCTTATGCTCCCAACCTTTTGCCACAGGGGAGGCAAGACGAACCTGCAGCCAGCATGCCGTGCCAACTTTGTATGCAACACATGCCCGGGCCCAAGTCTGTGAAAGCCTGGAAACGCTAACCAGGAGCCGTGTTCCAGACGAAGCGATGTTCAGGGTCCCGTCATGGGTGTCAGAGCACGAACTTGCGGGCTCCAGCTATGGTTAGGCCGGCTTTGTATGAGATTCATGGGCAGTCATTGTTGAGCATTGCTCCGGTGCCATGATCCGGGGAGTGTCTGGATGCGCCGCTTGGCCAGCACTCCGTAGAACTGAAGTCCACGACTCTCAAAATCCCCTAAACACCGCTTGCCTGCATGATCATGTGCAGTGGCATACGAAGCACGCACAAGATGCTGTGTCCCGCATCGTCAGAAGCTAGAACATGCTAGAACGCTTTTTATTGTCTTGAGGCCGTGTCTTACGACTACAGTTGCACCAGTAATAGCTTGCAGGCAGAACCCGTACTACGGGAGTGGTGATCGTTCCGCCGGGTTGAACGCGCAATTACATCTTCTCCCGTCCCCCTGTCCATCCAACAAGGAACGCCTTCGCATATGCACAGTGCCGTGTCTCTTTGGTCTACCACCGAGCCAATCACCACTGCGTCGATGCTTGGGTTTGTTTGGTGGAACCTAGAAAACTACGCTCTAAGGAGTAGCTGCTGCATCCCAGCTCTCTGCTCTTTGGACGACTCTGCGAAAAGCAATCAAACCACGGCCCAGCCCTCGCTGTGCAATCAGAGTCCATGCCGTAAGTCTATACAGGCCCGGAGCATTCCCCGTACGATCTTGCGCAAAACCTCAGCCCCGACCACTTACAGAAAAGACCCTTGGACACTCAGCAATCTCGTACCAGGGGCAAGCAGGATGGATCCGTGGCATCCATGAGCAGCCCGAGAGAGCCGGAACTTGTGCTGCCTCTCGGATTCAGGCATCCCCACCGGGCCTAGAGCCTCTTGGCTTTTGGCTTGGTGCCAACGGTTCAGAGCTCGTTTCCTTTAGCCTGAGGTTAAGCGGCGAAATCGGTTCTCTACTCTAGTTCCGGCCCCCAGCCAAAAGGTATCCTGATCCCCGAATATACTATACGAGTCTGCTTGGCTTGACATCGGGGACTTCCTTCCACTACTAAGCCTTGACATGAACATCGACGTCTCACAATAGGCTGCATGGAAGGCAAGGGCATGTCTCGAGAACACTAACAGCCAGTGGCGGCCTAGCAATTGGACCAAGCCCTGCGACCAAGCTGCAAGAGGCTTCAAAAAGGTCCGGAATCGCATCAGGATGAAGGAAAGATGGTGGTGTCAAAGTGGTCTCTGGATAGCCTGGTTGCAGACCCTCGCGCGGCCCTTGCTTACAGCTAGCACAGGCTTACCCTCTTTCTTGGGGATGTAAACGTTGAAACACGCGTGAGCGCTCACACAATGAAGCAGTCAGCACCTTCTCCGAAAGCAAATCCGGGCCCTCAAGCACCAAACACCTGAAAGCCCTAAACCCCATACGCCCCAACACTTGTAATTCTCAGGCTTCTTCATTGTATCCGCTTTTCTCTCCAAGAGGCCAGGGTCGGAGAGCCTCTTCGGAGAGAGGACCTGAGGACAGGAAGAGGCACGGATATTTTGTGGGTTAGAGAGCATATGGAAGTCTTCTAAGGACAAGCATTGGTGATTGCTGGCCATTTGAAGGTCCCGGAAGGTCTCTACGACAACAACTTGCGGACTCTCCGGCACCTGGACCTCCGCCTTCAGCGTGCATGGGGCCAGAACCTGGCACAACGACTCAGCTCGCAATGGACAAACCAAAAGGCATAGAACCTCTTCTTACACTTTCTAATCCGCCCTGGGGACTGGCGATCCACCCGAATGTGAACGACCCTCGCCTCACGAGCCGACATACTCAAACTTGCTGTGCATGGCTGTGTTCTGCTATCAATGGCTAGAAACCATGCGCAAGCCCACAGGCTACAGATCCTCTGTTGGTGCCTGGCTCTCGATCTTTGGCGCACAAGAGCAAAGCATCTCTCCATGGCCGCTTTGTGCACTGAGCGGATGCCTCGTTATGAAGCCCTCCAGGTCGGGACCCTTTTACTGGGAAATGATGAGGATTTTCCTGGAGCAGCTTGCTCCATGCTCTCACACTTGGACCAGCTTAGCCTTGAGTTTGCTCCTCGAGCGCCATGTGACTTGGGCTCAGCCTAAAGTGGTGCGCAAAGGCTTGCACGCCTCATGCCTTGCTCCGAGCCGTAAGGTAGCACAGCAAGATTGCCGCAATATCTGAGGTCGTACTTTGCCAAGTGGGAACCTGACACCTGCATCAAGTCGTCTGCATGTCTCTGTCACTGTCAAACACACCTGCCCCTCTACTTAGCCAGGTCTCGACATGAGCTAAGCAGCTAATCCTCCCAGATCTAATGCAACTTCCCGGCTATTGCAAGCCTGCCATCTTCTCAAGCGCGGCAGCTCAGGAGTAACGCATGGACTGTGTCTTCTGTGCTGCCTGGCGCTTTCCAGGCCGGAAACCTGGAGTCCCAGTCTGGAGACTGATGGGCCCTTCACCTCTCAGACTCTAAGCAATGCCCCTTATATAGATGAACGGTTGGTGGAGGGCCCATCGCCCCCGGATGAATCAGAACAGTGCAGCCTTCGCGTGCCAGCGTGTGCCAGCAATAGGTTGCCCTGGAGGTCTGAGGCCAAAAGCCGTCGGTTATACCCGGCCCCTGATAATCCCGTTTCAGACTGTGACGACTATCACTATCAAGAATAGTTCAGAATGGCTTTCACGGCCAACGCAGCGCTGTGAAACACCTGAGCTGTGGAATGCATTCGTCCACCTATGCAGAAACAGAGAGCCATGGCTTCACTGCCAGCAACAAGTCTGCCTGCTGATGCTGAAAGCCATGTATGAGTCGGACATCATTCCACCCAGCCCGTAACCAGGTGGCATCCCAGGCGGGGCCACTTGCTGCTTCTTCCGGATCTGAAGAAGAAAAGAACTCTATCCTCTACCCGGAAAAGCGTGGCGTATGGAGGCCTCCAGGCCTCTCAGAAGGTACCACGGCTACTTGCCAGGCATTGCCAGGGCTTTTGCATTATAAAAGTCCTCCTGTGAGACCAATATGAGTGTAGGGACTTTGTCCGTGTACGAACACATCGCCTAGACATGGATGCTGGCGAGGAAAACATCCGACAGCCCGGGACACGGCGACCGCTGGCGCAGCGTACTTTCTCTCAGTTGCAGCCGCCGGGCCGGGGAGAGCGGAATGTCGTACTAAGCACAAAGTGCCTTAGCAGGCCCTAGTGGTTTGAATAGTGCAGGATAGTGAATTCCACGCTTTGCGTGGAGTTTTGTACCTCCTCGATGAGTACCCACGGAGGTCCTGTCCAGGGACTTCAACCCTTTGCATCTGTTCAAGGCAAGAACGGAACTGGGCTGGTTAGCAGCCTTTCATCAAGGCTTTCCCCTTCGGATCCCAATGCTGAGCTCCACCAACTTCGATGGCAGCTCTGGGACCCCGAAACTACCTCAAGCCCCTGTGCCTCGCGTGCCATTGACTTCCAGGATGCCTCTCTTCGCAGTCGGCACGCTTCATCTTACGAGTTACGCACTTTCCACTTCCACCTCCTGCCTGCCCGGTGCGTGAGAATAAATCCTAGCGGTGGCAAGGATGCCACCATCCCTTCGGGAACACTCGAGCATGTGAATCCAACAGGCAGAACCAGCACAGAACACTTACGTCAAGAGAGCCGGAAAGCTGCTGTGCAGAAGCAGCAATACGGCTGGCATCTGCAACGCCAAGCCGTAATCTCCCCAACGCCACTTGAGATGGATACGATGGACATTTGAGCCCAGCTGCGATCGTGGAGGCCAACTCTCTCTTGCGGCTTCTCCATATTCCACCTGTTGCGAGACCAGTCTGCTCTACACTGCATGAGAAACGACCCATCTCGTATCACAGGTTGAAATCTTGTCGCCTTAGCTGCAGGCTTCGGGGCGGCGCTTTTGCCGCCTTTGGGTTGGGTTGCGGAAAGCAAAATGATTACTAAGCAACTGTTCAGGCAAGATAAAGTTGCAAAGCCAGACATCTTGCAGGACAGAACACGAGCTTTCGTTTGGAACAACGAGATCTTCCTTGCGATTAGTACATTGGCAAACACCTGTAATTAGCCCTCACGCCGCGGTTGAGGACCCAAGGTCAATAAGATCTTGCCTTGAATCTTGCACAGGAAACCCCCTCTTCGATTTCAAGATGCCTTACGTGTTATGCATCGATCTGTGCTTATGTTCGCTCAGGTCCGCAAAATGGCCTTGCCATTAGCCCAGCCGGATCGAGCTCGGCTATCCAGGGGCAAAGACAGCCGTGCCTGAGTGCGGGGCTTCTGGGAGCCTCCTTGAAACGAAGCTATGCCTTCAGCAGCTCTCTTTCTCGGCGTGATTACGACTCAGGTGGAAAGATTGGAAAACATCTTGGAGTGACTCCTGCCAACATAATACATTTTCTAGCTTCCTGATGAAACAGTCTAGCAGCAAACAAATCAAGCCCGAATCCAGTCGGCTACAGCCGAGCAGCTTCTTGTAATGGAGCGTTACGCCCACTTCCTCAGAGTACAGATCACATAGTGAAACAGGATGAGACACGATTGCATCGCACACAAGCCAATCGAAGGGTGGCTTGTTCAGAACGAGGCCAGTGTGGCCACCATGCACATGTGGTAGCTCGCTTATGCATGTAGTCTGCGATTTTTCATCACGGCAGTGTTGCTCATCTGCTCTTCCAAGGGAGGAGTCCCGCACAAACAACCAGCAACCATTGCTCAACAGTTGTGGCAGCAGAGACGCCCCTGGCAGCTGAAGCCTGACCCGTCCTTAGCGAAACATGGCTTTCACGACCTCTGTTCTCAAATGGTGTTGTGATGCCTTGCAGTCTACAGCGGCTCTCAAGCTGACGGATGGAGTTTCCCGCTCCGGTCGGTCGTCATCGTAGCTTTAGACCAAGTCTCGTGCTTCCGAATCGTTGCACATGGCACATGCTTGGAAGCAGGTACCTCCTTTATGCCTATGCTTTTCTATATATGTATGTATGTATGCATGTATGTATGTATGCCTGTATGTATGTATGTATGTATGCATACATGTATGTAACATATGCATGTAACGTATGTATGTAACGTAGTGTGTGAGTGTGTGTATGCGTGTAAACAGGTAGGTAGGCATGTAAGACGTGCGCGTCTGCAAGCTGGCTGTGATGTGAAGTTCAATGGTTTGAGCACGGGTGCCCTTGCTTTAGCTCTGTGGTTCAGGTCCATATCCTACCGGAGAGAGAGAGAGAGAGAGAGAGAGAGAGCAGAAAGGATGTTGCCTCAATCATCTGTTTATTCAGCTTAGAAGGAGACAAGGCATTGCAGATCTATTCCGCGGCTGTCTTCCTAGAGCATCGGCAGGACCCCTGGGCTTCACCAGCTTGCGAGGCTTCGTGCCAGCAGTTTCAACCCTGTTCAGAATGGTGAAGTGGTGAAGTCGATTCCGGCGCAGTAGGAAGCCGCGGCGAACATGCACATGGCGAGCTATCTTCCAGAGTGAAAGCCCTCACAAGACGTCCCCGGTCTAGTTTCAGGGCACTCAAGCCTTTAGCAGCCCAGGATCGTTCCAAAGGCCTTTGGAGGGTCAGACACAGGCCTTCGGGGCGAATACGGCGAGTAATTAGCCGAGCCATTTCCTTGGTTTCATCCGCAGGGTGGCCATGCCGCTACATTCCCCTATATACCTTACTGGCAGCACACATGTCGCAGTTCTGCAACGGGTAGTTGGGGACAGCTCTTGTGACTTTCTCGGGCATGAAGAGAAGATCACGCTCTTACCGAAACTCTTCCTTGAAGCCCTGCTGAATCTCTTCGTCTCGGAGGGCAGGGCTCTAGGCTTGGGCCACGGAAGCCGTTCATCTCGACGAGGTGATCGAAGGTGCGGATTCTTCGCCCCTCCTGCACCGACGCCAATACGTCATGCAGCAGGCGGGGCACAGACTTTAAGCGAAACGAGGCGCGAATTTACTAGTGCTTTGATATGCCTCGTGAATTCGTCGGAAGTCTGACATCTGCGACGAGTGTAGGCGCGACACAATGAAGGTATGCTCTGCTGCCTGATACGAGAAAGACTTAGGTGAAGTTTGCTGTAACTCTTGTCAAGAGGAGGCTTTTTCAGCCCGTGAGCATAGAGCAGGTGCAAGCCAAGGAGGCAAGGGCTTGGGCCATTTCTGCACTTCAGCTGAACTTCAGTGACCGTAGAGCCCCGAAGTCAGAGTAAACCGCCATGCCGCTCCTCTGCCACACTATTCCATGTTGCTGCTAGTCCGTCTTCTCTGACGCTCCGGACGAGTGGACACTCAGAGTCGGTGGCCTCGGCCAAGAAGATGAGGCACGACCGTTTGCGAATATTTTCACTCAGGCCGGTACGCGTCAGGACACAAGATGCATCCTGCCTTGTTGAAACCCACTGTTGAACATTATCACGCTTGGCAGGCTTGGCACTTCCAATGCTTCGGTCCCGCTGCTAATTCCTGACCTTTTGAACCACCCGCAACCCTGGCCTTGTGCGAACAGTCGGGTGCTGTGCACAGTGCACAGGTGGAGCAAAGTTGCAGTAGGATGACGAAGGTTTACTGAGGCTACTGTTGCAGGAACGCGGGTGCATCATGTCGAGCCCAGGACTATGCTCCGTTAAGTTAGCCGCAGAGCTAGGCAGTTTCCGAAGCCCGCTGACCCAGGCCCTATCGACAGGAAGGAAGGGGCCAGGTTTGTGGCCAACGAAGCCTCCATTAGAGGTTTCCAGCAAAGCGCAGCAAAAGCCTCCCCTGCCAGTAACCGACCGCCTGCAACTCAGGAAAAAACGAGCAGCTACAGGTCGAGACGCAGTTCGGTTTTAGAAGGTTCCGAAGCCATGCAACTGACAGGCTAATGAGGTCCAGGGGGCATCCAGCACGATGCCAGGTGCCCGTGCTTGCTCCAGTGATCTTATATCTATGCTGAGGCTCACAACCTGGGCACACGGGGAACTTGCAAAGGCGAGGACTGCCATCATCTCTTGGTCCTTGAGGTTATCACGCTCGAACGGCCGTGCGCGCTGTGTGTGTTATGATCGCTTCGAGGTCCTCTTATCATCCACATATTGAGGCAGTGGTGCCATCGCGCAGATCGGTTCAAGTTTCAGATGCAGCTTGCCGACAAGCGTGGCTCGGGTAATGTGAACCATTGACTTCAATGTCGGAAGCTGTAACCCTACACAGCTGGAGAGCAACTGGGTATCTAGGGTCCAAAACAGAAAGCTTGCATGAAGCTTCAAGCCAAGGGCGTACATGGCATCGACGGTTGTGGCTTCATCTTGTAGAGCGCGTGCCGTCCTTGTGCGCAGGATGACAACATCAAGTGACTGCAGGGAAAACCCTGACATGAGCAAGAGCTGGCTTAGCAAATGTGGCAATGAATGGAACATTGGTTTGACGGATTTCCCAGACTAAGTCGACCGGAACAAGGTAGTCTCAAAGCAGTCCTTGGGTCTGGCAGTGCTTGGCACTGCTCCTCAGTCAACTTGAGGCTGACGTTCTGTTCATCCGCTGCTTCACAGCAGCAGAACATGGCATCGAGGGCTGCTACTCGTACTTGCCTAGCGATGAAAGCTGGCTGTTGTTATTGTCGTTGCTTTTTCCTGCGGCTTTTGCTGTTGTAGTTGCAGGGTTGTGGTGGCTCGGGTTCTTGCTGCTGCTTTTGCTGCTGCCGCTGTTGTCGCATGTCGTCGCCGTGTTGTTGCATTGCACATGCAGAACGTTTCAGTAGTCTTCATGGTAAGTGCTGACGTGGTCTGCATGTCCAGGAGTCACGATGCTAGTTCCAGTGCGCTTTATCAGCCGTGCATTTTTCAACTATTGTCACTTTAGCATACTTAGATGTTTTGCCTGCGAAAACAACAACGCCCGGGCCGATCCGCTCCGTGTCTTTGACACGACCGGTCGAAAATTGACCCCTTTGCGTGGTAGCTGGAGCCTCGCAAACGGTGACAGAAAAGACTGAGACCATCTCCCTCCAGCTACCCCGTTATTGCGCCCCCACGTCGCCATGCCCGTGCATGCTCCTGCATGTAGTTGTGCCTCGTTTGTAGGTGCATGCGGCGGCCGTGATCCTCGTCCTTAAGCCGAAATCCTGAACCCTAAACCCTAAGCCTTGCACCTCAAGCAACGCACCCGCCTGCCAGGAAGATTGCCTTGGGCTCGCGACGCCCGCAGAAGCGCAATGCAAAGGCTGGCTCTTCTGCAAAGTAACTGCCTGCGTAGATTTCACAAGGATCATTTTGGCTACAGTTGGGTCAATCCCCGTTGCACGTATCGTGACCATTTACCTTTGCTGTTTTTGTTGCTGGCACCATTACTGCAACTAGCAACGTCCAGCTGATGATGATGACGATGATGATGACGATGATTTTTCCCACCCGCTTCGCTGACCAGGTCGCGCTGCAGGGAAACTGCACTCCAAGACAGAAAGACGTGTGCAAGTCCCAGGCTGATGATGATGATGATGATAATGGTCGGTATGTCCAGAATCGAGCACCTCTAGCCGCTCTAGCGCAAAAGCGTCAAGGTATAGGGCATAGGCCTAGGCATAGCCATAGCCATGTTGTTGATGGCAGTGGCACAGAACGATAATGGTACTTATTGCAAGAGTTTGCTTGACCACGATCACGAAGTTGAATGCCGTTCAAGTCAGTGCCTTGACTGTTAGCCTCTTCCCGAGGCGAAACTTGCCGCAACGAATACTTGTGTTACACGGGTGGTGGCCTTGCCTGTTTGTCATGACCATCTTCACAAACATGACTTTCTGCTTTGTGGATATGACGCTATTGCGATGATGTGATGCTGATGCTTCTGGTTGCTATGCTCTGACCTGTTATGCTTCACGTGGCGAGTACTGCGGCGAGGATTGCAACCTGTGTTCCTGACGGTGACGATGATGCTGCCGCTGATGTGCTCTTGCTCCATCTGCTCTTCGACCAAACAGCCCAGTGCGGTGATGTTGTGCAAGGAGCAACAGGGGGACCTTGTGGTTTCTATGCCGCAAACCTGTTGTCCATTTTCGGGAATTTGTGCGACTTCGATGGAAGTGGCGATGCCCCACTGGCAACTGGCCTCGTCCCAACTTTGATCCATGTCGCCCACTGTAGCCACGATTGAAACCGTTCTGGGCAATGTTCCCCACCTTGGCAGAAAGCCAGAAAGGGAACCTTTTGGACCCAAAGGACCGGAGTGTGCTTGCAAGCGCTACGTCCTGTACTGCAGCATTGGGACTGGGATGCGCAGAACCAGTAACGCGTACATGATCATGAAAGGAACGGTGTAGAAACAAGAAAAACGGTGACAGCATTCTGGAAACTGATCATATCTTTAAGAGTTGTCTCTCAGTCTCGATGAATGAATCACTGACCCCATGTGTCTTCCTGGTGGCCTTTTTGACGGAAGCCTCAACATGACAGCGTATCCAAGCAGTGGAGTGGCAGCTTGGGGCATGATTAGAAGTGACATATGCAGGGAAGGTCCGGCCACCGTCATGCACGCACACTCTCGACACAAACATCCCTAGCTGCCAGCCGCGGTGCGCAGTCCCAGGACGTTCCTGTGCCGTTCGTGTATGTCAACGGCACGGCCGACAACAAGAATTACTGGTCACAAAATCTTCGCGACCGTACTGCACAGGATCCTTCAAGGATCAGCTTGTAGGTAGAAAGATGAACGCACATGGGTACTCACGGAAGCATAGTAGAAACAGCCACTGTGATTGCTGGGCGGTGCTGACTGGTTAGCCCTTCATAGCTGCAAGCAATACATCATACGACCACCGGAGCAAATCCGCCATAATCGTCTTGGGGCACGACCTGCTTGGTACCGAGCTCTCTGACCGCGACCAAGGTTGTGGCCCAATTGTGTCTGGATGGACCAGATACAGACAAGCTGCAGCTGAAGAAATGTGAAGACCAGTACGTTCCTCACTCTCCCTGAACAAGCGTGGTTCATCACTTGACTGACATTTGATAAAGGCCCTTGACTTTAGCTAGAATTCTGCACCGGCAAGACGTCAGTCGGTTTGTGCCTCCTGCAGCATTGCTGAGCGAGCAAATTCACATGCATGCTACCGACACGACAGCAAGTTCAATTATTCCAGTCGCTGGGAGTCAGGATTCCCCTCTGTACTAAAGTGCCGAAGCTCCATGCCAAAGCAGTCTCTCTGGCCCCAAGGTGGAGGAAACCTGACGCGCGCTTGCTAGGATGCCGGGTTGACAAGAGTCCATCGCAACTTTTTTGTGCTGATCATGCGCTGGTAAATATATCTGTCAACAATTTTACGTTAGAAACCTCTGTTAGGATTAGCCCAAAGTGTACAAGAGATCTGTGTAACTAAGCTCCACAAGCTCAGGTGCTCAGGATCCCACAACGAACCCACTTGAACTTTCCTAAACTTCCTTAACTTCTTGGAGTTATGAGAGTTACGTACTCTTCAAACATGCTCAAAGGCTTTTTGGGGTAAGGGGAGACGGGAGAGGCTTCGCCGCATGGAGTCTTCTTTGCCAAGAAGCACTGCTGTATGCTGCAGCTGCTGCTCCACTGCACTCCACACGCAGCACACAGCGGATTCGAAGGCTTGGCATGGCACCTCACAATGAGAAAAGACAGCCCAGAAATGGCGAAGCATTCAAGGCGCAGTGTTCAGGAGTCTGCAAGGTTGGTGAAGGCTTTTCCGTTGACAGTCAAGAAGCTTCCAGAACAATCTCGAAGAAAGATGACTTCTGCTCTCGGGGTCATCCGTGGTACTTTTGGCCATCATTCCGGGTCTCTGGATGCCTACGCCAGGCTTCTTCTCGCTTCGATCATGAACAGCTTTACAAAGCAACATCCCGAGCCATAGTGCACTAAACAAACGAAGAGCGGAGAGTGCTTAAGGACGGACGCCACATCCATGCTGCCAGCTTTGTAATTTGTAATAGTCGACTTTCATCATCTTCGAGCCGTGCACTCGTAGGCTTGCGCCCGCAGGCCCTCAGCATCCCAAAACAGTTGCTCCACTCAGAACGATGGTCCAAGAAGCTTGCGAGCCAGTTGTGAATGGCCTGTCGGAAATCACGACACTTGACTGACGAAGCAAGGCCCAATGACACGTAAGTCTACCTGGTTCAATTCGTATGTTTCTAGCTCCAGTCGCTCGCGTGTCACCCCTGCTTTCTGTGTGGTCGTTGCCTGAAGACGGCTTGGCACGTTACTCGTTTTGTGCAACAACAAGAAAATGCCAATGTACCGTTTAGACAGAACGGACTCACATTATGGAAACGAGCAAGACGGAACACTACATCCCGGCCTCGAGATCCGAACTGCGACCCAGCTCTGCAGAGAAGGGCGAGCTGTGCGGTCGGCCTTTGGATGTGCAGCAGGGGATTTGGTTTGCCTGCTCTGGGTTTTAGCAATGAGCTTCAGTATTGTTGCACCTGGCTGGGGTCGTGCTTGGCCTTGCAAGTCCGTCGATTTACTTAAGACCGAAGAGCTTCTCGCTTCCAGACGACCCAAAGCAGTCCAAGACACTGGACAGGAGGCCACGGGACAGAAGGCTGCGCAGGATCACTGGCACGTCCACAGTCGCAGAGCTTCGGAAGGACGAAGAGAGCGCATTCCTGGGAGGCCAGCTGTCGAGTTGATGCATCGCTCGTTTCGTGGGCGCACGGGAGCGACGACAACACTTCGCACAGGAAGCAACTGTTTTCCCGGAGCTAAGTGCTGTTGTAGCATTCCCTCAGTCCAAGATCTCCTGGTTCTTGGACTTCCGCCGCTAAACTAATGCACCCCGACTTGTTCGCAGGTCCCGTCACCAGGGTCAGATTCCCAGTTGGTACTGCATCCCCGATGCTAACTTTCAGGCGAGCTGCTGCGAAGCCAAAAACTTCGCCATGGAGATGGATCCTGCAGGAGCTTGTGCCGAGTGCGAGCGAGGCCCGGCGGCGGCTGGAGGCTCTTTGCTGCCTCCGGCATGAGCCTAAAACCTACACCCAGACTCCCTTGATTATTCAGGCCGGGAGAGCGATCTGAGTAGAAGCAAACCAACCAAAGAACCTTCGGCTTCTTGGGTGTGTGCGAAGCACTGGAAGTGCATGACCCTCAAACGTTTCTCCCGTGGCTCCAAGCGAGGGCGCCCATGTTTCCAAGTGGGCATCTACCGGAAATATGATGTGACGCCCGGGCTGCTGAAAGAAGCTTCAAATCATGCTACCTAGACCTTTTTGCATCTGGTTTGCAGCGACTCAACCAGGACAGAAACAAGAGGTTTCTGTCCTGGTTGAGTCGCTGCTACCTAGACCTAAACTCCTGAACCTTCCCTCTTCCAGCCTAGGGAGAGTCGCTTGCTCCGGGACTGCATGCGTCCGTCACGCGGTGTTGCTGCAGAGGTGTTGCTGCTTGGCTTCCTCGGTATCATCTTTCGGTTTCTTTGCTGATAAGGACATGTTCGGCCACAGCAAAACACTGCTCGATACTCTGCCCGCCAGCGCTTGTAAACGCAGCAGCAAGTGCGCTGCAAGGAGACCTTTGCACAAACAAAACTTAGTGGTGGTAGCACTCAAGGCCGTCATGCCGGTCGAAAACCCTGAGTAAGTCTCGGATTTCATTCTCACCCTTTGACCTTCACTGCTTTTGCAAGCCAGGCTTCTCGGAGGTGCCCGACTCCACTATGCCGGGCCCAGAGATCCCTTGCCGGCTGCAAGTTCAAAGTATTCAAGGTCGAGGTCCAAGAGCGCACGCGCTAAAACCGAAAGTCTCGGAGCTTGCGACCCTGGGTCTGCACCTTAAGACTTATCATATCCACGCCCACGCTTCTCAAGCTCAACAACCGCATCCCAAACTCCCATGGCCGAGTGTCGAGGTGGCAGGCTCGGATGTGTCGGAGCCTTTGAGGCCTTGCCCTCCAGAAGCTGAGCCTGGAAAGTAAGAGCTGAAACAGTCTCCACCTACCTCCCTCCCTGCCTCGCTCCCTCTCTTTCCTTTGCTCTGCTCGTGCCTCCCTGCAAAGGACTTTCAACGCTCACCAGCTCACGACGTGTGAGTCCTAGTACGGACGAGCTTTCGGACCCCCCCTCTCATCAAAAAATCCACAGAGCGTACAGGAGGGAGTCTCGAAGGACGCCGGAGTAGACAATGATGCAACTCGCAAGACAAGATGCCCAAAACAACCCAAACAAATTCCAAGCTACATAAAAAAGAATCCACTCAGTCTACTCCGGCCGCTACAGCCTTCACTTTGATGCAGCTACGGACAGAATATGTAGGTTAACGGTTCGAAAGCAGCGACACGCGGAATCAAGCTGAAGGCAAACAAACTGCAAACTGCACGTTCTCCGCAAAGATGGGCAGGGAAAGATACTGTAGGGTGGTTGTTCAGATTCCAAGATGCTTCAGGGAAGTGCCCATCGCAAGCGCGAGGTGAAACTGCTGATGGCTCAGAGAGTCTAGCCCCTCACTACTCCAGTCCCACTTGCTGCACTTTGGCCGATTCTACTGGGGCTGCTGCTTAGTTGACACCGTAGAGAGCTGGTCCATTCGCCCAAGAGGGTGCATTGGCCACAAAGTCGTCGATGGGAGGGAGGTTCTGCCAAGGAGAATAGTCAATGGGCTGGTTGCACACCTCCGCCCCGCCGCAAAGCTTGCCGACACCTGCGACGTAGTCGCCGGTGACGACGTCCTGTGCGACGAGTCCAGTGATGGCCACCATGGCAAGGCGGCTGTTGTTCAGCTCCTGGCACTGGACCCGCTTCCATCCGTTCCAGATCTCGGAAGGGTAGTCCTCGTCGATGATTCCCTTCCACCCGAGCACGTCCCAAGGGCGGTCCTCAGGCGGCTTGCAAATGTAGGTGGTCAGCCACTCCAAGCACATGATGGTGAATATCACCTGCCACATGCCTCCCATGGGGAGCTGGGTCAAGCTGACGAGGGGGTCGTTGCTCATCCTCTCGCCGATGGCATAATCACCCAAGAGGTGGTAACCCGCAGCCACGTGGAACCAGTGGAGCACTGCGAGCATTGCCACACGACCGTGTTTCAGCTCCATGGCCCTGAGCATTGCGATCTCCTTCTCGGTCTTGCCATTGGTGATGCCTGCCGGATCCCAGAAGTTGTCAGGGAGAGGACCGCCAGTCCCGGCGATGATCTCCTGCGCTGGCGACAGTGCACGCAGCGGGGAGTCAGTGTAGAGAGACCAGTCACCCCATGCCTGTCCAGTCAGTCCGTTTTGGAAGAACATGCCAATGATAGCCATCATGGCCAGCCTGCCGTTTGCGATCTCTGCAGCCAGCTTCTTTTCCTTCTGGCCCTCCGGAGCCTTCATGAAGCCATTGGGGATGCCAAGGAGACCTGCGTTTTCGAAGTCGCCCGGGGCACGCTTGGGATCGTCGACATACTGGAAGAGCTCCACGCTGCCTGCGAAAGCCACCATTTGAGCCCAGCCACTGAGAGGCACCTTGGAGAAGGCGGCAAAGCCAGTGGGGACATCCGTGAACTTCAGGCCGAGGGAGGGAGAGAGCTCGCCTGGCCAACGGTAGTACTCAGGGACAATATATCCCATGCATGCCAACATTGCCACACGTCCGTGCTTCAACTCCACATATCTTCGGCGGCGGAAGGAGGCCGCATCGCCGCCCTTGGTGAAGCCTGGCAGGGGCAATGCAACAAAAGCCAAAGATATTATATAGTCCCCAGATCGCACAAAAAGCCCTGACAAATGACGCGCTGTTTCGCAGCCCTGCCTAGAGGATCCCAGAACCCGGCTGGAGGCTGCACCCCGAGCTCAGTCTCAAAAGCGCGGAGCGCAAGAGACCTCTGCTTCTTAGGAGCGGAGGCTGCACCCACTGCACCGAGGCCACAGATGGCCAGGGCAGCCAGGCCAGAGCCGGAAGAGGAGGAGGCCTGGGCCTTTGCCTGGCCATGGGCGCTTCGCAACGCGGGGCCGCGTGCGGTGCTGGGCGCGGTCACGAAGGCCGTGCAGCCCACGGCCGCCATGGCCGCCATCGCAACTTGCTGGGTAGAGGGAGCCATCGTCCTAATTTTGTCTAGGACGAAACCACAGTTTCACACTCCAGTGCCTGTCTAAGCCAAAATGGCTGTAAGATGCGTCCGGTACCCATCCTCTGTCCTGAGGCCGTCAAAAGCTGACTAGCCTTATGCCATTGGCCACATGCTTGTGAACACATTGGTTTGCGAGTTACCATCGTTCTGCAATGTACCATCTGGTGAGGTGAGTCCGTTGGCCAAGCATAGCGACAGCATAGGGGAGTCGTCACAGCTCCCCACCTTTCTGCGGATGATGTCGCGCCGGTCCCGCGCACGCAGCATCTGGTCACGGTCGCCGGCGAAGCGACGGCGGATCTGATTGGCAGTCGATGATTGGTATGACAAGAGCTGCTGGTGTTTTCATGCGTTTGAAGTGGGTGACCCGCCTGCAGCCCACGCCAGTGGCTCTGCAAACAAATGGCAGCTTCGCGCTGGACCTGCTGGAAGAGGACAGGAGCTGTAAGAGTCGGGTGCGATGAGCAATGAAGTGGTGAGGTCATGGATGTGTGCTGGTATTCGTGCCTGCTTCGATCCCTTATGGAAGACAGATTGGTCTGAAGCAATCCGTTCACGCTGTTCGCGTGGGGCTTGGGGATCCGGCCTGGCAGAACCGCTTCATGGCACGGAGCACCTCAACGGATCTCCAATTCTTCCACGGTCCCTGTTCCCCCCGGTGTGGATTTTTACCGGCAAAGCGACTTGGGACTTTCCGGCGACAGTCTTCCCCTCTCCTGCTAGCTTCCTGGTTCGTGGTTGTTGCTTGCCTATGCAATCGCAGCAATATCTCCAATGCCCCGAGACAGCTTTGACCTTCACAGGTGCCGCCTAGCAACGAAACTTGCTGCGTTCTTCCTGGCTGTAAAAGATCTCAGCTGCTGAAGCGCTGTGCGCTTCTGCCTCCGAGCAGTCCAGCTCCACTGCACAGCATGTTGAAAATGGAACACACAAGGCCCATCTGCAACAGTTGTAGGACTCCCGAAAAGGCAAGGCGAGTAGTCATGAACAGTATGCAGCAATTGATAACAAGATTAGCAGCTGCTTGGGATGTGATCAGCCCACATCCAACCTAATGAGCTTCAAAAAGCCAATACTAAACAACACGAGCTTGCCCTGATGCGTGTGCTCACACATACTTTGCTAAAGCGCAGCTAATCGAGGTCTTAGCCTTATGTATACTCGTCGTCTGTGGGCGAATGTCCCTGCCCGTCGTAGTTTATGCGCATCTGCTGCACTTCGGCATGCGGCGGCGAGCTATAGCAGCTTGTTCGCCAGTTGCCGGCAGCCTTTGCCGCACGCAAGCCATGTGACAACGCCATGCTCGCTGGATTTCCTGCACAAGACACTTGCCAGTACTCTGACTGGGAGTCGCATAGACAGCTACATTGTCTGAAGCCGTCTAGCTAGATGCCTTCGGAGGTCTCTGTACAAGCTTGAAACATGCATCATCCTTTAAATATGCATGCAGCAACGCAGCCTCCGCGGCTTGCCGCATCCGAAGTCGCCATCGAATAGTCAGATGCATGCCTCATCAAGCTGCCGAGAATCGAGCGCAAGTAAACTTCAAAGCATCCATCTTCTTCCCTAACTTGGAGACTTCGGCACAAACCCTTTCCGAGGAGGGCTGGAACCCTTGCTTTTGCGTGCTCTGGACTTGCAGGTCTTCCTCGTGTGCGTCACTGCGGATTGTCACAGCATGCCAAAAGCAAGACTGGCTCGCTGGAATATGTCAAGGCTGCAGGCCTGTGACAGTAGACGTGGACGAGAAGCCAGTGCGGAGTCGAGTAGAAGACTTGCGCTCTGGTTTTAATGGGGCAGACAAAGCTATCTCAAAAGAGCAGTGCGGATCAACACATGCTGCACTTCATCTGCAGCACTTCATACATACAATATTTTCTATATATCCCTCCATGTCGCTGCAAGCCCACGGACCACCACCGTTCTTGTTGGAACGAGGAAGGGATTCACGGATGGCAGCACACAGCCCAAAGTTCACAGGCATTCCCCGAAGCATAAACTTTTCAGGGATGTTTTGAGGGTTGTAAAGCCACGCTGCGCCAGCCACGCTGCAGCCTGAAATCAGGCTTTGCAGTAGTTCGATGCAGCTGGGATGAATATTTGCCACGATCTTCGACACTGCCATGCTACATGAACCGCTCGAAACCAGATGTGCAGTTTTAGCAAAGATGTCTTCATTCCACACATGAAGCTCGCGATTGCAGGTGTAAATCCGTACGAGTAGACATGCTGCAGATCCAGTCGATCGATGTGACACCGGAACTAGTGGGTGCAGCCGAATACGTCTCGTGAGCTGCAGTGCCTGTTTGCCGATGAGCGGAGAAGCTGGGCACGAAGGAAGATCCCTCGCCAGACTTTGGCGACCTGCCCGACGATTCTGGGTTTTGGGGGCTCGTTGATCAACATATGTACATTTTCATCCATGGCTCTTCAGGAATCCCTGGATCCTGGGGCAGAGCTGATGTGCTTACCTTGAGTGCTTTGGATGAAGGAGCTTTCGGCGCAGGAGTTGCGACGACACATCCGCAAACATGCTAAACGGCGTTCTGCAGCACACCAAAGACCGTCTCCGGAGTAAACGCGAAGATAAATTGTGATGTCCCTCAGCGAGTCTTGACCCTGGCATGGGGCAATATAGTAACAACTTATCAAATGGTTCAAGCAAGCGCCAGACTTTCCAACTACCCCACCAAAACCCTTCACGCCGGCAAAGTTGTGTGCCGCCCTCGTGAAGCAATGCAAATGCTAGACTCTCAGGCCTGTCGTCTCATCAGCTTGCGGAAAAGAATGTCACGCCACCAGCGCTGCACATATCTGGGAGCCGAGTGTCAGGTTCGAGTGCACAGGTTCGGTTCATAGAAAAGTATATAGATGTACATGATTAAGACGTACCTGCGAACATATATATCCATATAAATATACATACACACACACATACTTGCATGCATATATATATACATACATACATACATACATACATACATATATACATACATACATACATACATACATACATACATACACACATACTCTATGCATACATACATAATTTTGTACATACATACATGCATACATCCATCCATCCATACACCCATACATCCATACATCCATACGTACATACATACATACACACACAAACACAGACATACATACATACATACATACATGCATGCATGCATGCATACATACACACACACACATACATACATACATACATACATACATACATACATACACACACGTATACACACAGAATACACAGACAGAGAGACAAACACTCAGACAGACAAACAAGCCTGTGTACATACATAATTGGGTACATACACACATGCATGCATGCGTACATGCAGCTCAACTGAGTCTTTCCAGCAACCAAATGTATAACTACGGCATGCACTGGTTTCAACAGCAGACATTCAGCAGGCATTGAACGTGAACTACCAGCAAATCTGAGTACTTTTAACAAGGTTGTGAGCGACAGTTCAAGCCAAGAATAGCAGACACTTTACAACTACAACCACCAGGCATGTCGAAGAACACTCATGGCCCTCTTCTGGGTCTAGCACTCAAATGACATCTTCGGGCTGATGTAGTAAGCGTCTTGTGTCACAACAACTTTGTTTGTCGTCGTCTGTAGGCGCATGTTGGAAAGAGGAAAGAAGGCGTGTGGCTGTATCACCAGTGGCAATTCCATACACACTCCACGCGCTGCAAGTCACAAAGAATCGTTTGCGACTGCGAATATTAGGTGCATTGGCCCCCTCCATGCCAGTTATGAAATCGAAAACCACACCAAGTTGGTAGGGGGGGGGGGTAGAATATATGCACACATACATAGATAGATACATACATACATGCATACATACATACATACACTACACTACATTTCATACGCACGTGCATGTGTGATTGTATGTGTATATATATATAGTATTCATTCATTCATATATATATATACATATATATATATATGCATGTATGCACATACGTATACATTTACACACATTCATCTACACATACATATACAGATGACAGGCTTCGATCACAAAAGGCTAAAGGGCCAGCAAGGCCAAAGTGGGCAGGAAAGGGTCCGAGCCCGCTGAACACCTTATGTAGGGGGCAGGGCTCTTGGGTATAAGGTACTATCAATAAATACCCCCGGAAGTACTACAGCTGCAATTAGGAGCCCTAACAAAGAGCCTAACTGCCGTAATTGCTCCGGCTTATGTCAAGGTCTGCTGGGACTTGTTTGATGCGAAGGAGCACGATGGATGCCCGCAGCGCACGGAGCCCTCACAGCAGTTTAGGTTAGGCCAAACATGCGATGGACATGATTGCCTGTGATGCTGTCTGCGACGCTCGCTATTCTTCAGGGTTCGGGATGGCGTGCTCCACGAGCCGAAGCCCGCGCCTTGGGGCCCGAAGCAGCTGCAATTACACAGCCACCAGCGGCGCCAAGCACGTTGGATCTTCCTGGAGACAACTTCCGGGCAGAGTGGAGACGGTAGGTCTTAATCCGGATAAGACTCACATAAGTCATACAACTCGGCTGTGTGCTCGGTCTTCTGTTCCAATCTCCATGTCGCTGTGTGGCGGGGGGGGGGTAGCGGACTTGGCACGCTGTCAGGCCAAACTGCTGGGCTGTGCTTGATCAGCCAAGCTTCTCGGCCGCAAAGTGAGCGAGCTTCTTGTGAAACGGACTGAGGCCTGAACACGGCAGCTTCAATGCAGGGTTCTTTCACTCAAACTGCACAATCGCGGGCCCACATCTGCCGGCTCAGGGTGTCCAATGTTTTTCGCCAGGTTTTTCTGTCTCTTCGGCATTCTTCCCCTGCTGTACTTTCCCGGGCTGGCTGCCACAAAGTCTCAAAACGGTATTGAACTTGGAAGGCCTAAGAGCAAGACCCTACCTGCATCGGTGGTTGCCCAAGAAGGCAGGCTGTGACCACATGGAGGCGGAACAGTCGGCGTTCCCACGCGGATGGAGCTGGCGTAGCCCCCGAGATCCACAGAGATGACAGGAATCCGAACCTGGCAGCGACAGACTGTAAAGTGATGGTGATATAACTCGCTAGGGCTCCAGTAGCCTAAGTAGTGGGTTACTAACCATATATTATCTACCCCAGTAACCTACTATTTAGGTAACTGGAGCCCTAGGGACTGATAACTCTGCTTCTTGGGATGTCTGGCGCTGCCCATGTTTGCGCTCGAGTGGCGGAGTGGGTTGAAATTACCGCCACTCAGCTCACCCTGTGCACCGAAAACTCCCATAATGCAAATAGCCTACAGCAGTCCAACCAGTTAGGCTTAGTTCTGGCCTCCGGTTGGGGCGCAGCCGCCGGATGCTGCGGAATCTGTTCATCCGGCCGGATTGGGGTAGACTGCCCTGGGCTTTCGTGTCCTGAAAGCCTCGTCCTCCTCTGATACCTTGCCTCTGCGAGGCTCTGAAGTCTTACCTCGTTTTGAGGCAGAGACTTCACCTCGTACTGTCTCATCTCGCCCTGGCTCTGAGATCTTTCTGCTTTTGGCTGCGTGGGCCGCGGCAGCCGCTCTGGCGAGGGCGATGCGGGTCGCCGTTGTGGGCGCTGTATCCATGCCGCGCGATCTGGGGAGGCAGGGCGCTGGCCCGACCTGGGATTTCAATGTGTGCGTCTATCCTGAGCAGCTTCTTGCAATCCAGGCATCATTGAAGCAAATCTGACCATGGAAACGACCGGCGAGACGATTTCTTGCATTTGTTGTGCCGAGGACTACCGACCGACCATCGGAGACTCTCTTCAGACAACCCTGAGCCTGAACCGCTGACTACTCCTAAGCCCTTCTGGCATCGAGCGGCCCTGGGCTCTCTGGCTTCCAGGCCGTGGCCTTCTCCTTCTCCTGGCCAGCTCAAGTCTGATCTCTTGCATTGACCCAATGCCTTACTGTCGCTTCTGTTGGTGACCTAAGCCGCATGATTCATGATCGTAAATGATGACCCCGACGAAGTCGACGTAGGATTCCTATTACCAGTACTGTGGCTCCCTGTAACCGCTCACTCATCCCGACAGATCAAGGTCCCCTGAAAGTCCAAAAGCGGACCTTTGGCGGGAGGACCTTTGGCTGCCAATCCCGTGGAGATCGTCGGGGTGCCTGGCAACAAAGCCCCTCAAAGGTTTCGAAACGAGTGGCTCTTTCAGAGGCTTGCTTATGGTCAACCTGAGACTTCTGGCACACTCGTCTTAGTTGAAGAGTTCATAAGCACAAAAACTGGGTGCGTGTTCGGCCCAGCACGAAAAATCTTTTCTGTAGGGAATAATTTGCTACTATTGGATATACAATGTATTGAATGAATATATATATATATTTATATTTATATTTATTTATTTATTTATATATTTATACTTATATTTATATATAATAGATCCAGCTCGAAGACGCCGTCGACGACAACCACTGCCTCAGTCGGACTGTGGATGCGTCGTCGTGGCTTATCCGAATCTTGTGCATACCAGGCAGAAGCTTCACTCCCTACGGTTCCCCATGCCAAAGCTTGTGAAAGCCTTAATCTGGAAGCTGAGGCTCGGTCAGAAGGGCGATGAATGCCTGCTTCGAGGTCCATCCGTGTCATGAAGGACCTTGACAGCAGAGGCGGTAATGCAACCCGTGTCACTCAGTTGATTCAGTTATTCGACATCGCACTTGTTTCTTCCCCAGCGCCCCTGAGTTCGCAGTTGGAGCGGCCCTCAGAACTCGCCAACCCGTTGATCTAAACATATTTGCAACAACGGCTGCACAACGTCCTGGTTAATTAGGTTAATCATTGTCGACGGCGATATACCCGGCTGTCCGACTGGATCTGAGAACGCTTGCTCCATGAAACCCCAACTTTTAGCAGGTCATGGGCCATGGGCTGCCAGGTGGAGGTCTGGCCTCATCAACTTCTCTGGGGAGGATTGATCTAGTGATCTGTAAATATGAAGGACAGCCATCCACTTTCATGACAGCGTGACCTGTCCCAGCCATGCCCCGAAAAACAAGCAGTGAAACCGACCAGGCTGCCTCCTGTTCGGATGAGCATCAGGGCCGAGAGACGAACATATGCTGCAACGTCGCCCGCAAGGACTCTTTTGTGGTGGGGCGCCCATTCTGCAAAGCAACGCCAGGCATGCTGACAGTTTCGGTTCTGCGCTTGACGCTCAGCAGCTGTCTGGCCACGGATCGGGCTTGCCAAAATGAGTCCACCGTCACGGAGTCCGCCTCTTTCTTGTCCGCAGGCTTCTGACCCATAACCAGCAGATCCATCTCCAAGCCCGCTTCCACGACAGCTGCGAGAGCAGGGTTGTCTTGCAGAACTTTCTCCGACACGTATGCCACTTGCTTCTTCTTGGCAAAATGGACCAGCACTGTGTCGTCGTTGGCTTCATATGTCGTCTTGTTGCACACGCTCAGGCCCGCAGTTGCAACAGCCCAAGTCAGCGGCAAATCGAGGGCGCTTTGAAGGGCACTGACATTGCCAACAATCACCAGAGCACGGTGCTTCATGGCGTCCACCAAATTCGGCACGAGGCGGGCGCCGTCATGAAGTTGAACATTGCCCGAGCACGCTTTGAACACCTTCAGGAATGGCTTAGGGTTCATCGTAAATAGCTAGCCTGGCGCTGTCTTTTGCTTTCAATAGGAGGCATATTTCAGTAAATATAACTATAGGCCTGAGCTTTTTTTTGCTTGCAATAAGAAATGTCCAGAACACGAGGGTGCATTTTGCTCAGTTAAAGGCCTGGGAGAAGGACTCCGGCTTCCGAGATCGCAATGCTGGCTCGTTCCCGAACAAAACACATGACCGAGGATCAGAGAGCCGAGGGGTGGCTCGGAAGACAGCAGCATGCTTACTCCGGCGAAGTTCTTCATCGCGCGAGGCCGTCCGCTTCCGAAAGTTCTGCATGTCTTTGGTGTCCTCCAGCTGGTTGTCGTCACCAAGCAGGTCTCCTCGACCCCCCGTACACCCAGTAAAATACCGACTTTTACTACATATGGGCTTCTGGGTTCTAAAGTGTTACAGTGCACTTCAGGCGTGATGGGAGTCTAATGTTCAAGCGAAAAAGCAGAACGGCACCATTCATTCACCTGGTTTCTGGCATCCGCACGCAGTAGAGGCCTCCGTCGGCCCGCCAAGCGCCGTCCCAAATCTTGAAGGGCGCGTAGTTGAGAACGTTTGATGGACGCATCCGTTCCCTTCTTCTCAGCTCTTGGACACTCCGGGCCATAGCGGCGGTTGTATGCACAAAACCGGCGCCCGTGGAGCTGCAACCATAGCTTGGCGAAGGACTCCGACCAGGCAGTCATTCTGAACCCAACCGGGTCCATTGTCTTTTCGACCACGTCCTCTCGAATCTGTGGTCCGTCCAGTATGGCCAAGAGTGCCTTGGCTGATGTCGGAAGCAAATGAAATTCGGTAATGGTGCTCCTCCTTGACTTCTTATCAGGCGTCATTCTGAGAACGGAAATTAAGTAGACATCCTACTCAAACCGGAGCCTGATGAAGACAGTGACACAGACAAGTTACATCGTCCAAGGTAGAGGCAGTGATGGGTCCGGAGTGGGCCTGTGCCGCCCTCTTGGTGGAACTCAACGTGCGTTCACATGTCCCGGACGCATGTTCTGTGGCAAGATACCACATGATGGGCTCTTTCAGGAAGCGGAGTTCGCGGCCAAACTTGGATGCGAAGGATGGGCTGACTGCTCGCATCCAGAACTCACGGTTGTCCACGTCCCCCCCTCGGTCGCGGGCCTTGCGGAAATCCTTGGACAGTTATAAATAAATTCTTTGGGTACTGCAACGAAGCACGCACTATCACAGTCCTGGGCCTAGAACTTACGACTGCCTGTGGCATCATGTATCTGCAATGTAGAACTAGGCTCCCGAAGCAGCATCAGCGCTACGCTGCTGAGTTCTTCTTTGGCCTCGCCGACACGTCCTCTGTCAAACTTGTTGCCAGCCCGCAGCAAACTTGACAGCCGGCTCCAAAGATTGCCTGTCAGCAGCGAATGACCCTCTATGTCTGGGTTCGGGCCAACAAGCATCTCTTGTGCTCTTTGCCAGAGAAGAAGATCGAAGCAGGCGAAGTCCATAACCAAAGAATGGTCCAGTTCTGCGCGAAGGCGATTTGTTGCCTCCTCTGCCACCTGCTTCATGTGGACCATGGCCCTGGCGCAGCATTCCACTGCCAGCTGCTCGTCCCACATGATCTTCACTTTGGAACCAAAATAGATGGGCGGGCATTGTTTGGCGAAACTGCACGCGCGGGCAAAGCAAGTCTGGTCATCGGAGCTGGCTTGGAACACGATCTGGCCTCGCACAAACAGGTTGTGGACTCTCTCCAAGTAGTCTTCTTTGTGGCGCTGAGCCACGGCAGGGTCCGGATCTGCCCTGTCATCTTGTCTGATGTATGTCAAGGCAAGCGTTCTCCAATCTCCGATGAGCCCCGCCTCTACTGCGGCCTCTGTGCCAAGACTTTCCAGCCATGTCTTTGCTTGAAGGCGTTCTGGCGCAGCTAGCCGTGCGTCCTGACCTCAGGACGCATACTTTTCAACTGTTCCCACTAGTCTCTCTTGCCTCGCACACTTAATGACGAAGCTCACTTACAAAAGCTTCTGCGTTGCATACATCCCGAGACACTCCGAGCTGCGAGGATCAAGGCAATTGCGCCCTGAAGGCACACGAAGTGCCTTGCGGAAGCAGCTGTACTTTCGTACCTGCACTCGACGGCGCCCAGTTGGCGAAGCAGCGTTGTGAGACCCACGTGGGCTTTGTCTCTCATCGCCGCCTGTGCCACGACCAGTTCACTCTTCCACTTCTCCTCGGATGCGAAGCTAGCAATCATTAGAGATTCCCAGAGCACCTTCATTAATCCAGCCTTCTAAGAACATCCCGTCCATATTTATGTCAGCGAACGAACAGTTTTTATTGAAAAAGCTGGCAGCAAATCGGCCAAGGCACGGAATGGTGAACGGCCGGGAACAGCCCTCCTGCGCCCGCCCATACCTTGCGGTACCGTTCTCCAAATACAGAGCTCCTCTTGATTGGATCCCCAGTCGCCGTCCGCTGTGCGTGACACGTGTCGCGGGCGATGGACCAGCACTTGGGAAATCCTTCCTGAGACTGACTACACGGGAGGAATTAGCGAAAATATTTGCTCAGACATCCCGCGACAACTCGGCAAGCCTCAGAAGCTCACTGCAAAAACCACGCCGCCTGGCTGGAGTGTTGCATGCTCCAACTTATCTACATGAGTGTCATGTATCAGAGCCAAGTCTCTCGGAGATAGGCCAGACTCTTCTGCACAGCTCCGTCGCCATAGATGCCCACGATGTGCTCAACGATATGATCGTAAAGCTCATCATCCCGACGGCGCTCGCCAAGGCAAGTGCAGAAGGCCACCAAGGCCTCCTTCAGAAAGGCTGCGAATCTCACGCCGTAGTCTTCCTCCAAGTCTCCCAAGCTTTTGCTGCAGTTCGCATGTACCGACAGAAGCCCTCGCTGTGTGCATGCCTGACATTGGTTCTAGGGTGAATAAAGAGAGCTAGCTGCTCTTGGACCTCACCTCTACAAACCGGCTAGGCTATTACCTAACATCCTAAGAGTGTGCAATTAAATGTTTCTGTATTTGTTTATTTATTTATCTTCATATATTATGTATATATATATATGTACTACATAAATGTAGTAACTATCTGTATGACTTAGCTTCTGCTTTGAATCTTCCTAGCTGTGATTTATACCGGCTGCAACTGCAACTTGTTAGGTAAAGAACAGGGGACAATGGAATTTCCTTTAGCTGGCTCCTTACATCCTTCGATGGTGCTTCTTATGGGTGCTTGTTACCTAGAGAAGCCCCACGCCCCCCCTCCCAAACAGCAAAACCCAGGAGTTGCCACGGAACGAGCCTTTACCCCAGGAATCCTGATTCCCTAAACCGGAACCCCCAGCCCAAACCCCAGAACAGGAACCCCAACACCCATCTTTCGACACTCCATCGAGGTCTAAGGTTTACGGCTTTGATTAGGGTTTTTGGGATTAGGGCAAGCCCTTCAGGAGTTTCTTTCCGGAAGCGAGGCGAGAAAGTAGCAGGGCTAGTCTGAGGGGAACAAGAAAACCTCGTGCCCCCTTAAGCCGCCCTACACCCTGCAGACCTGAGAGAAGAACCGGCCTTACAGCTTTTCGAAACCTCATGTTTGCTTGTTGCCTGGAGATGTACCTTGTCAGCAACATGTCCTGCGTATTTGTCTTACTTGGATTTTCTTTGTGACTTAGAACTGTATACTGGCGACTTTCAGGTGGGCCGCAACTTCGTAGAAAAGACGGTTAATACCTTCCAAGTAACTTCTCGGTGTTCTCTGTGACTTGGGTTGTGTCTAGAATTCCTAGCTGTGGCTTAGACGAGAAGGAGACAGTGAATTTTGGTTTGGCTGGTTCCTTAGATCCTTCGCTGTTGCTTGTTCGGGTTGTTACCTAGAGAAACCCGACGCCCCCGTCCCAAACAGCAAACCCAAGAATTACCACGGAACGAGCCGTTACCCCAGAAACCCTGAACCGGAACCCCCAGCCCAAACCCCACAACAGGAATCCCAACACCTACCTTTCTACACTCCCTCGAGGTCTAAGGTTTACGGCTTCGGTGGGTTTCAATCGGGGTTGTTGGGATCAGGCTTGAAGCTTTCGAGCAAGCCCTTGAGGAGTTGTTTCTTTGCTTTGTTCCTGTGACACACTTTGAATTACCGCGTGAAATGACAAAAGACATGAGTGTTGTGCAAAACGACTTCCAAACAAGCAAGCTCTACCCTGGACCCTGACAAACTAAATTCACGGGGAATCGTTTACAGGGAAGCACGGAGCTTTCGGACAAGCGCAGAAGGCTGCAGCGCCTCTCCGTGCTCATCAAAGTAGGAAGCTTTGAAGCGGACAGTGCGCCACCGGCCCTTGTCGTCGGTCTGCAAGGTGATGGCCGCTGCTTTGCGCAGCACCAGACGGTGCCGTGCTCGCACTGCCTCTGCTATGATTCGCACCATACTCGTGGCTGCTTTCTCGGGCACCTTGTCCTTGCCACGGCTGCTGGCCAACCACCGTGCGGTGGAGAGGTGCTGAGCGGCGAGGGCGAAGGATCCGTGAAGTGACTGCCAAATTACCAGCCAATCCTCCAGCTGAGGGACGCTACCCCGAAGGAGGCCAGCTTCGTCGTGGTTCATTGCCAGCGTCTCCAGCGGTGCGTCTGGCTTCAGGTACGCAGCTTTCGCGAGCTTGTGGACCGCTCTGGTGCAGTGCAGCCGCAAGCTGCTGGCCTGCATCATCGATAGGCTGGATATTTCGTATCTGCCCCATTTCGTGCAGTGTCTCCGGCTTTTACCTCGAATCGCGGTCAGCACAAATGTCCATTGTTTGGTTTCTTGGCCGGGGTTGAAAAAAAAGGGGTTCCATGGGTGTTCTGGTTGCATCCCTCACAACGATCAAGCTTCATACCCCTGTGGGTTGCAGGATCACCCTCATAATAAACCGACCCACATGCAGAATGCAAATCACCGACGCACTTACTCTCATGCATGCCACGTCTCCTGGCTTTTGTACTCCGTTGGAGTGCAGCATTGCCGCGCACAGGCTGCAGCCTATTCCCCATTTGCCTGGCCCGAAGGACGCCGGTCTCGCTGTCAACCACCGCACGGTCTTCCGTCGCCCTTGCACGGTCATGACTTCCGTCCCGGGCCTTACTGCGCAGCCAGACCAGCCACTAATGGCATACAATGCTCATAAAAAAATCAGTCCGCACCACGCCTAGCTCTGAAGAAGAACAAGTTGCCCGCCGTCTGCTGTCCAGATGGGCTGCATCATGTCGAAGCGGCACCGTGGGCAGCTCTCGACCGGCGATGGGTGCAGGGCCTTGTGCTCCTTGTCATTCATGGCCACCAGTTCTGCTTCCGGCACTTCGCTGGATGCCCACCACTGTCGGCCGTCGCTTTGGCGTTTCCGACTGCTGGATGCGGATGGACGGTCCTTGGGCTCAGATGTCTTCTCCTTGCCTCGACGGCACTTGGATGGACAAGCCGGGGACTTCTTAGCTGACCCTGACTGACACGAAGGCGATTTCTTTGTTGAGCTCGACGAGGACTGACACGACGGCGACTTCTGGGTCCCGCCAGTCTCATAGAGGGACTGCCACGCAGCAAGAATCTGCTTCCGGGCTTCCATGGTTCGAACCGCTACGACGAAGTCAAACTAGAGTACCAGTTACAAGGTACTCAGAATGAAATCAATCTAAGCCTGGCCTACTTGATCAGTCGACGGCAGATGCTCTGAGGCCAGAACTTGTCATAGACACGATTGTCTCAAAGGCATGGTTATGTTCCGCCATGTGCTCTAGATGCATCCGCCGACCCCTCTGAACCAACACTGCTGCACGACCACGATGTCCGATGTACAGTCTGCATGCTTGGAAGCACAGAATGTGCTTGGACTCGGCGGTGAAGGTTGCATCACAAACAGAAGGTCAGGATACAAGACACCAGGCTGCAAAGGACGAGCTTCGCACATTTGGGCCCCTGCGGTGCAAGCTAGGGCCTTGTAGCTGTCTTGGACACCTGGCATCGGGGCCATGTTGGGCTTAGAGATTAAATTAGGGTTTCAGGATTACATCGCAAAGCACGGGGTTATTGTGCAAATATCAGGCTTTCTCTGGTTCCCGCTTCCAGCGGAAGGTTTAGGATTTACGTACGGTGTAATTTGCACGCGGCAGCAACGGGAACGAGAACGTGCCTTGTAGGACCTTAGTAGGGTCCCAAGAAGTCATGGTGGAGAGCCCTAAGCCTAAACCGCAAACCCTCTATGCTAGGCTCTACAATGATCTGCCTGGCTTCGGAAGCGAAGCTAGCTAGATGCTTCCCAACTTCGGATTCGCAATTTTAGGTTTAGAAATTTCGTGAATACCAAGAGTAAGGAGCCAGAGAACTTCTCCAACTACTCAGAAACCAGCGAGCGCCTCCGACTCGTGATGAGTAAAAGCATCTTCTTCACGTTTTGTGTCTATCCTCTTATCACTTCGTGGCCATGCAAACAGTAATAAGTTCTGAGGAAGCCTTCTATGGCCATCGCATGTCAAACCCCAAACCCCGAAGCCATGTAACAGCCCCACCGGCCTTGTAGTTGTGACTGAATGTGCGCAGCTCCGACCCAGCGAGTCAGGAACCTCGACATCCCAGGTTGTAGTCATTAGGGGTTCAGAGGCTTTGGATTGAGCTTTTCGGGCGTCCCTTTGGCTTCCATTTCAATGACATACAGTGACATACACCAATAGCGTACAGTGACCATAATTCCTCGGCCATCCTAAAATAGGTTTATAAACATAAAGGCTAACCAGCTACCGTTGCGACATGGTACCCGAGATCCTCTGCAGAGTCAGACCATGATACAGTCGCAAGCCTTACAGCCCCAAGAAGAAGTGCAACAAGATCCTGGGCAAACAGAGCCAAGCTGCAAGGTCGGGAATGCAAGGATTAAGCAACGGCGCTTGTCAGCACCAGGAACCCCAAAAGATATGCTTTTTGTCGATTTAGTTCTGGGCAGCATCCGTGCGCCCGTAGAAGACAAACACTAGATAGAAATGATTCTCATTTCTTCAGCCATCATAGTTGGGCCCAAAGATGATGGACAGAACAGGAACTGCCGCGAAGGCGAAGCTTTCTGATTTGCCACTTGTCGACAAGATCATTTCTTGCAATGGTTCAACTTCTTCTCCAAAGTTGCTAATGCCTGCGTCAGAATCTTGTTGTCTCTGTCGAGCTTCTGCAGCTTGGGCTTCTTAGCACGCCAGCACAAGACCTCTTGCTGGAGCTCCTCAAATTTTTGGTCTCGCTCCACCATGCGTCGCCAAACATCCTTCTGCAAGCGAGGCCGGACGATCGATTCTGGGCCGCCTTTTTTCTTATCCTCCTTCTTCTTGCGCTCCGCCTCATTGCGCCGCTTCCGCTGCTTCTGCTCCTCTCGGGCAGCCTCAGAGTCCTCATCGGATAGACACAAGTCGAGGGCCGCCGCTCCTTCCCCACATTTGAGCGAGTCGAACGCCTTGTCTGCAGCTGGAACGACTTGCCCGTCACCGACAGATGGAAGACCTTTCAGAGTGCCAGCCTCCGAAGACTCTGGAGCTGCACAGACGGCAGCCGCTAAGTCAATGTTGGCAATCTCATCACGGGAAGGAGTCGGCGAAGGCGATGGGGTACGGCGCCTCTCATCATGGGCAGCAGTCGGCGAAGGCGATGGGGTACGGCGCCTCTCATCATGCGAAGGAGTCGGCGAAGGCGATGGGGTGCGGTTGCGCCGGATGCGATGAAGCGGTGTCTCGAACGCCGACATGTGCCGTGGGCTGCAAAAGCAGGGCTACGAAAGCTTCAATACAGTGACTCTGTCATACTCAATTACCGGCCTCTCCTTTCTCAATTAAAATGGTCGCTATGTCTGAAGTCTGTTTCACTCCTATTCCATAACAGCTGGGTCCCAGCAACTGACAGCGCAGGAATGAATCATCACATTCATGCTGTACTGTAACTTGTACAAAATTACACAGATGAGTAGCCCCTGTATAGACTAGCTTCTCATAACATAGTATACAGCATCTAGCACAGAACAGTAATCATACTAAGCTCTAATACACCAAGTAAGCCACTGTCAACAGGCACTTTTGTTTTGCCCAACGATTTCTCCTCTGGAAGTACTCTTTCAACCCTAATCAAACAAGCAGGCTCCGAGCATTTGGGGGATGCCCTTCTTCCTCGCGGATTAGCGGTACTGAAGTCTGGGATCAGTAGTAGTAGTAGTAGTCGTAGTAGTAGTAGTAGTAGTAGTAGTAGTAGTAGCTACTACTACTACTACTACTACTACTGCTACTAGTAGTCGTAGTAGTAGTGGTAGTAGTAGTAGTACTAGTGGTGGTGTCCTCTTCGGGTGTTAGCTTTGGGCCGTTGTAGCAGCAAAGCCTGCAGCCCAAATCCTGAACATTAGACCCCTACTTTGCCTAAACTCCCAAAGGTCCTGAGACAGCCGCCCGTGGACCCAGGCTTCTTCTCCGATCTTTCCGTGAACCTGTGCAGTTTTGACAGGCTCTGGGGTGGGCGCTTTAGGAACTTGAAAGATTGGTTGTCGGCTCTAAGGAAAACCCCCACATGCCGGCGGGTACCCGGCCAAGTACGAAGACGCTAAAAAAAGAAACACAGAACTTATGCAACAGTGTATCGGCTGCAAACATACACGACGTTTCGGTCTGGCGGGCACCCGCGGGATCACCAGGCAAGGCATTCGAGACAGGCACGGTAAAGAGTTTTACCTACAGTAATTAGGCTGTTGCGAAGGCCACGATAGGGTCTGAAGGTCTAGCTCCGGCAAGCACCTGCCAGCGGGTACCCGCTGGCGGGTACCCGCCGGCGGGTACCCGCTGGCGGGCACCCGCCGGACCACTGCATAAGAAACTTGCAAAGGAATTGCAAAGTATGTCAGGTTTACTTATAGAAGCTGCAATGAAGTAAGTTGTAACTAAGCCCACAATTAGGTTCAACACATTCCAAACGAGGGGCTGGCTTTCGCGGCTACCCGCCGGCGGGTACCCGCCAGCGGGAACCCGCCGGCGGGCACCCGCCAGCGGGTACCCGCCGGCGGGCACCCGCCAGCGGGCACCCGCCAAACCACCAGGCAATGCATCCGAGACAGGCACGATACATAAGAAATTTGATATGCAAAGTAAATTAAAATGTACTTATAAATTTTATTAACCTCTATATCTAGCTAACAAAGCCTACAGCTAGGGTTTCAAGACAGTCCAACTGAAGGTCTAGCCTGGCGGGCACCCGCTGGCAGGTACCCGCTGGCGGGTACCCGCCGGACCACTATAAGCAATTTGTTCGAGACAGGCACGGTAAAAACAAACTTGATAAGGACTCCCAAAGGTTTACCATTCCAAGTCAAGGTCTAGCATTTCATGCTTACACCAGATTGAAGCGTAGCAGCTCTTGTTTATTTTAACTCCATAAATCTACAAGGCGATACGTGAATTGATCATGCTGATTCCGAAATAAAACTCCAGAAACCCTCGAGATGCCGCACGTTCTGCTGTCCTGGTCCTACTCGAGCCATTTTACAGCGACAGACTGAGGTACAGCAAGTCTTGCCACATAAGAAGCCAGAGGCATTGAAGCCAAACGGATCTGTTCCATTCGGCCGGCCCTGCCACACTGAGCTATGTGCCTGCCTAGAAGCTGTGCAAAGTGCAGGGTCAGCCGAGCAGAGTTGAACCGCAACAAACGACTTGGGCAGTAAGTTCTAAGCCACCTTCACGAGGGCGCGGACCGTGGTCGGCGACCCACAATACAACAAGCTTGGCTTTAAGAGGCCGCCTATGTCAGTAGGAATAATACTAGTTAGCAGTGCTGGTTCTGATGGCTGCCTGTAATGCTACAACCATTTGCCGACTTCGTGAACTACTATGTCTTCCGGGATTGCTGACGCAAAGACGACACTGCTACCTCATGGTGTGGTTGGTGTGCAGCTGCGGGGTGTACAGTCTAGGGTGCTTGGGCGACAGCTTCGGGTGCGGGATCTGGACTCTTTACTCGACAAGTTGTCAAAAACCAGCTGGACTAGACTAAACAGGCGTGTTGGCTTGCTGCTGCAACTGGCCTCTGTAGTATCTTGCTTCGGTTCTCCCTCGGTCACGGCGTGGTGGCGTACTGCTGACCGCTTTCTCAGCAGGCGATCAGTCTAAAGCGGAAGCCCATCTCTTTCTGGTCAGAAGACAGAAAGGGTCGACATCGTCTCTAGGCCTGATAAGAGAGAACGCATCCTGCTTAATATAATGCAGTAGTGGATGAATCTGGCCAGTCCGAGGACTTCTGCTAAGACAGTTAAAAGGAAGGGCCCTGCGTCAGCCCATCTCCAAGACGAAGGCAAAATGCCAAAATGGCCGATCGACATATCGGCTAGCCGCTAGCCCATCTCGAAGGCGAAGGCAGGGTGCCAAAATGGCCGATCAACATGTCGGTAGCACGAGGCTGAGATAGGGATAAATTTCCACGGATTTCAATCTTAGTTCAAGCTATCCAGTGAGTTTGGCCTGCACCCTGCCACAACAGCCCTCTCAGGCACACTTAGTCGTCATCGTCCTCAAGGTCCGGCATCTTCTCCTGCACTCCGCAGAGCTCGTCCTCGAACAAAGCCTTGATGCAAGTCGACAAATCCTGCTCGTACAAGCAATGGCCTTGCTTGACGATGGATTGCAGGGCGTGAAGATCTGAGATGTTGTTCATGAAGGTCAAGTGCTCCTGAGCAGCTTCACACCCCAGGCTCCAACAAACCTTGAACCTTTTTTATTTGCTCTACCCTGCATTTTCTCCGCCACCCACCTCGTTGGAAGTCACGCCCAGGTAGGGCACCCCGAGCTTCAGGCATGTGATGGGCAATTGGGTGGTCGCTTTGAGGTCCACGACGAGGGCGCCTTTCCAGTTTTGGATCCAGCTTTCCCAAAAGGACGTGGACTTGCTTTCCCCCCACCACAGCGGAACGGACTCATCCTCGTTCATTCCGGGGGGCGCCATCGGCATGTCCTTGTCCTTGATGTTGAGAAGGGCACGCTTCGAGCTCTGCCGAATCCTGGGCAGGTGACTCGGCAACAACACCTGTTCGGTCACCGTGCCGAACAGAGTGTTGTTGCCTGACTCGATCTTCGACCGGGACGCTCCGAATCTGATCAGGACAGTCTCGTGCAGCTGCTGCGACAGCACCGTGCGCCTCACCCTCTCTGCCTTCTCCTCCTGGTTCGCCTTCTTCGGCTGGAAGCACAGCAAGGCCTCGGACAGCGCCTCCTCGTTGGAGACCTTGGGGTTTGCGAGGCGACGGCGAAGGCGACTCCTACCATCGAAGATGAAGAGCGTCTCGAAGGGCTCCTGGGTCATGGTGTTCACAAAGTCCCAGGTTGTGTCCAGACCTCAAGAAGGTTGCCGTTGGTCATCTTGGAATTATTTAAGACTCTGAATGCTCAATCAAGTTAGGTTGAGTCTGAGCGACCTGACCCTTCCAGCTTCGCAATCTGCCCGGGGAGTTTCCAGGGGGGATTCGTTCTGCTGTTGGAGGACTCTCCAGCACAGTCCAGACACAGCATGTAGAGAACATGTTTGTCGTTCAACCCGAATCGCAGCTTGCTCTGCTTCATGAATCGCTCAACGTTCTTGGTCAGATCCGCCTTCGAAGCCGGAGTCACGAACTGGATCAGGCGACGGCGTGCCGCCTGCGCCTTTTTCCACGCCTCGGCTCTCTCGGCCAGCTTCCCAGCATCCATTGGGTCGCTCTTTGTCTTTGCGAGCTGTCGCAGACTCAGCGCTGGCGGGCCTGAGTGGAGTGCCTTGTCGTCTGTGGAGGAGAGCGCCTGGTCCATTGACAAAACCAGCTGATCGATGGCGTCCAGGAACTCCGCGGTGCCCTCCTTCTGATCCTGATGCGCCGACAGCTTCTCCTCCAGCTCATTCAGAAGGATGGAAATGCCCTCGTCGTGAACCCCCAACGTCACATCGTGCAGGACCTGAAGGGCCTTTTTCGCACACGCGTGCTTGGCACTGTTGATGGCCACGGTGAGCGGGGAGTCCGTGTCCCCTTTCTCGGCGTTCAACTCTGGATAGGCCTGAAAGGGCAGGTGTTACTGGCACACGCTTAAGAACAAGAGACCCTGCAGAATGAGAACTCACACGAGTACTAGGCAAGGCCTGAGAACACGGCATGCATGGGGGGTCGGGCCTGGTCGAACGCCAGCGGATCGAGGAAGTCTGACAACAAGCTTTGCAGCTCATCCTTGGCCTTTGAGTCCTTCATGTGGCCGACGATGTTCTGGATCCACAGGACGGTTCTCGCCCGTCCTAGCGACACCGCAACCCACCCATTCTTGCCAGAGCCCGGATCGAGGACGGAGACCGAGAAGAAGGCGGCAGTCACGATGGCGCGATTCATGGCCAGCATCATGGCCCTTACTACGTATTGAAACGCCTCATCCGCTGAGACGCCCACTTCGTTCAAGGCGGAGCAGCCGGTCACGATCTTCAAGACCCTGTTAAGCTTGGAATAATCGTCTGTGAGGACAGCTGCTGTGTGCCTCATCTCCAATTCACGCAGAAGAAGCAGAGACTCCTCCGACAACGTGTTCTGCATGCTCGCCAATGCCTGGGCCACGTTCTTATTCATCGCGCCGTTCCACGCGACGCCAAGCGACTGCAGCCACTGGGCTCCCTTGTCACTGGCTGCGAGCTTTTTTCCAGTCAACTTGATGAGCCGCAGCATTCGCCTGGCCCAGGACAGCCATGTGTCCTTCACCAAGTTCCCGACGCTTTTGAACTGCAAGTTCACGGATGTCTGCAGCTTAAGCTTGTCCTGCAGGAAAATAAATCTTCTTAGCAAAAATGCACGAACAAAAAAAACTCTCATAACATGGCTGGTCAGGCTGACTTCTCCTCCGTGGACAGTCCCATGTGCATCCGCATGGTGACCGAAAGGCTGCATTTCAACAGATCTTTCGTCAGGTTGTCGTTGCTGGTCATCAGCGACTGCGTCAGCGCACAGGCCAAGCCCAAGGCAACTTTGCGCCCCGCTAGGATGGGCATGTTGCAGGGCTTCTTTGCTGGCACGCTCTCGACCAACACCGCCAGAGTCATGGGGAAGAGGACGACGGCGGATGTGGTGCGAAAGACCTGGCAATCTCAGAAGTGAGTCTGGATGGTTTTTGGGGGCTTGAGTTTTGTGCTTTGAGACTGTGTGATTCCCAGTTCTCCAGACTTACAGTTTTGATAACTACCAACCTGGCCTTCTCACAGAAGTCCTGGTACACGCACCAGAGCTCCTCGTCCTCCTCATCAGGCCTCAAGTCCGCCATCCACAAGGTGAAGCCGGCCTCGTAGAGGTTCATGGAACGCAGGCCAACCGCCATGTTGTCCAAGTTGTACACCTCCTTGAAACCCTTCTCGTTCGACCCAATCTTGAGCGGCTCCAAGTCCGCGAGGGCGGAAGGCTTCCCCAGCTCCGGCATGTGGGAAGGGATCCACTCCAACAGTCGGCACGACAGCCATGGGAGCATCTTCTTGAGGAAGGGCAGCGCAGACTCGTCGTCAGCTGGCAGACTCGGGGCTGCCGGCACAAGATGCTCGACCGGTTCGTGGGAGCCCATGGGATCGGCACTTGTGCTGACCTTCAGCACGCCAGTGTCGGTGAGGCTCGCGCCGTCCAGGCGAGCATCATCCTTGACGGCGTTCTTGGGGTCGAGGGCGTCTTTGCTGTCCACTTTGGCAGCCTTTGTCTTTGGTGCCGCCTCCGCCGCGCCCGTGGCTGGCTGCCCAGTGCGCTTCTTGGGTTGGGCCATGATGCCAGGACTCAGGCCCTAATCTCCTCTCTTACTTTGCCCTGTGCCTTCAGAGCTGCAGGGCAGAGTCTGGCAAGAGTAGGACGGAACACAACCCTAAGCTTGCATGTGCCAGAACTGTGCAACGGCTCGCAGGGCGACCGTGCCTCGTCGTGGAATGGAGAAGTCATCGTGGAATCGAGAAGTTTTGGCCTGGGCAGAAAGCACGCCAGATTATCAAGTACAAAATATAGAGTCGCATAGAGCCGAACAGAAGAGAAACAAAACGGTCTATCCATATCCGACAAGAAAAACACAACGGTCTATCGATATCCTATTCTGGCCAGTACCAGGCTTCCTGGGAAGGACCAGGTGTATTGGGAAGACACACGGACCATTACAAACGACCGGAGGATATCGATATCCTCCGGTCTATTGGCAAGATGGGCGATGACTGACTTTACAGCTGTACTCTTAACAAGAAGAGACCCTGTATTGTGTCACTGCCTGAGCTGATGCAAACGACCGGAGGATATCGATATCCTCCTGTGTATTGGCATCCAAACCGTGACAGCGGGCAACCCTTTTTTTCAAACCCTCTCCTCCACTCCAAGACATGGGCACAGACGCTTCACGACGATATAATGTCAGCTGTACAAGCGTTCCCACGAGCTGCCCAGGCTTGCTGCTGGGCGCTTGATGGGCAAAGATGAGCGGGGCTTGGCGGATGAATTGCCCCTGGCTTCATTCTTTTGCGACGGCGTCTTCTGATTCTGGGATACCTTCTTGGTAGCGCTCCTCTTGCCAGTGGCCTTTCCTGTTAGGTTGTTTTTCTGCTTCAGCTTTTGCCCGGCATGCGGAGCGAGCGTGTAGCGATCCTTGGCCTGCTCCCACTTCAAGAATAAGACAGACGTAGACGACGGCGGCAGCATCCTGTCCTTGGGAATGGATTCTGCTGACACCAGAGACACCGCCAGACCCACAGCCAGTCCAACGCAGTCCGCATGCATCCCGTTTCCGAGCAGGTCAGTCATGCTGCCGCTACACTCCTTGGGGATGGACAGGGCCCCGAGCCCCATGAAGTTCATAGCTTGCTTGTCCGTGAGCATATGAAAAGAAGCATCGGCATAAACGATGGCGATCTTCGAGGACGTGGCGAGGCATGGGCATGCACGAGCACAGCTGGAGCCCCAGCCCAGGGACTGACTGACGTCTACTGCCAAAGGCCATGGCCCTCGATGGACCGCATGCTTCAACATGATCATGTCCCTCTGACGCTGCGTCAGGACTTGTCCAGCTGCTGGCAGAATGGGCGACCGAGATGGCAGGCCATGCCGTTGCCTGAAGTTAGCATGTTGCAACTTCCAACGCGGATCTCCGATATTGTCGCGGTCTTCCTTCTTCTTGCCGGACTCGTGCATGTGCGAGATGGACCTGTCGTCGCAGGTAGCAGGACCGAAGGACAACAGCACGAGCCGGCTTTACTAACACCCAATCAAAGACAAATCTGCAAGAAGAGCCAAAGCGCAGACGGGCCGACTGGGGAGGAACGCAATCTTCCCAAGGTTTCCTGGACTTCCCCGGCACCGACTGCAGAACTGAGACACAAATCTCGGCCATCTGCTTTGCATCCCCAACGCAAAGGTCCTTGCGGATGGCCAGCATGTACAGCCTTGGTCGTGCCATGGGAGTCCCAAAATTGCGCTGCGGATCCAAGGGCAAGACCACCATGCTATAGTCACGTGTTACTCCATGTGACTTCAGCAGCTTCAGCACACTTGGCCAATATTTTTTGAGACCGACTACATTCTCCCAGACCATCCATGCCGGCTGCATGGACATACAGGCTGTCAACATGGCCAGCAGCACCTTGGCGGCTGGGTGCTTCCACCCTTTTGTAGACTTGCTGCTGTTCTGCGCACTCCACGGCTTACAGGGGAAGCCAACGATATAGCCGTCCAGCTCCCCAGGTGACGGGAGCTCGGCCACGCTTCGCTTGCAAATATCCCCATGGAGCTGCTGGGGACCTCCATGGCATTTTATCCACACGCGTGCGGACTCCTTCAAGTCCGAGGCAAACCTCGCGTGACCGTGCCGATTCGGCAGAACACAAAATGATGCTTGGTTGTTCTTTGGATTTCTTCTTAGATGGACGTTAACATTCACACAACATCCAGACTTTCACCTGGCCAGGAAACAATTGCTTGATACGAAGGCCAAGGCGGCCCATGGAGTAGATGGGTGTGTCCAAGCCAGAGCAGTCTGTAGCCACAGCATGCACTTTCGCCGAGGGATCCGGCCCAGCAAAGCCCAGGACCTTGTTTCTTTCTTGAAGGATCAAAGAAAGAAGCTGCGGGGTGGCCATGGCAGCACAGCAGGGATGGGCAAGCTAGCCCAGACCCAAATCTTGGAAAACTGTACCAATGACGCTACAACCTATCAGATGATCCTAGCTTCGAAGGCGCAGTCTTTCATGTGCACATTACACCCTATCAGATGATCCTAGCTTCGAAGGCGCAATCTTTCATGTGCGCCCTGCACCAATCGAGACACAAGCAAATGCAGGGGCCTCTGGAATGCAAAACTTGAGCGAAAGAACACGAGGACCAGATTCGGCTGGATCGCGCTCTGCACTGGACTATACTAGTAAATTAATATAAGACTACAATACCTATATAAATGCTTCCCTCTTACAATTGGACAGAACTTAGACAATATAACTGTCCAAGCCTTATGTTACACTTCCAGCAGTAAGCGCCACTGGACTGTGTCCACTGAGACCGCGGCCCCTCCATGCAGGATGCCCAGCGACCCTGGCAATGCCTGTGCGGGATGGGACAGGGCGAACCTGAGAATAGCAAATGGGCAGGCCCGAGCAGCACAGAGGGTTTGGGGCTTACGGGTCCAACGTACTTGAATCTGTCAGCACGTGCCAGGCGGCAGTGCGGCTGCAAGTAACGACGGCGATTTGAGTTTTTAGTTATCCCAGGTCTTGCTTCGTCTTGCTGGACATGGAACGAGCGGCCTTCATGTTTTCGGTGAGCAACCCACCAAAATGAGGGATCTACAATAGTTGATCAAGAAGCACGACAAAATTGCAGGGCATTCTGGGCAGCACTTTGCTGCGACTCTGACTCCATCTTCTCTAATCTCTCTCTCTCTCTCTCTCTCTCTCTCTCTCTTTCTCTCGCGTTCTCTCGTGCTTTTCTGGTCTGCAACGGCTAACGAAGATTGTTGGCAGCTTGTGCTCCTGTGATCGCAACGAAGACTCATAGGGAGCTCCACGAAAACTGAGGCTTGCCCACCTGGTTTCGTGACCTGTGGCGCCACTCAGAGACCACGGAACCTGACGACGTTCCGGGGTGCTCGGGAAATCAGGGGGGCTTAGCTACTCAAGGGATCTTCGAGCCTGATGAGAGTGAGTCTGCCACGTGGTGCAGTTCTGTCGGGACTGGAAGGGGTTAGGGTTCCGGCCTGAGTTAACTGTTTTCGTTCACGTAGACCTACGGGTATAAAGCCTAGAGCTACCAGGGCTGGCAACTTACGGCGGCGACGTCAGTTTATGTTGGCCTAAGTCAGAACTAAACCTGAAATAAGCGAGACGGTCGCCGAATCATCGTGCCGTGCCGCTGCAGCGAATTGCTGGCATGAGGCCGAGGAGGGTGAAGGCTAAAACCGGAAGCTCGGGCTGTTGAGGACTTTCGACGCCACCGCCCAAACCAGCCCTAAAAGAAGTAGGACTAGAACACCCTTCTGCTGGCAGCTAGACCTCCAGCTTTTTGTGTAGCTTAGCAGTCTATGTAGTGCTTTGGTGAAGTCTAACGTAAGGTGTAGGGTTGGGGCAGGAATTACGCAATCTAGGGTATAGTAGGGCTGGGGCACGAATTACGCATGCACGATGACAATGTCCCTGGTGCCGATGGGCACGATGGGCGCGGTGACCATAACGCCCTCCATGGAGTCGGAGCATCCAAGTTCGGTCGCGTGGCAGAGGCCTCGTGCTCCGTATTGCAAAGGACCTGCAAAGGTCGGACTTCCGTATGCCCTTCGTCCACTTGTGGCCAAGTTCTCGACACATTGTCATGACCTTCGTCCCTGACTTTGCCTTTGTCTGGGCCCTTGTACATGGCGCACAGAGAACTGAGTCTTCGCGGGTTAAGCCTCGGGTTGAAAGAGGTCTTTCCCGTAATCGACAGGTGCGGCTTCTGAGGGTTCGTTTGCGCCGGGAAGTCCACTGCTTCTGGGATGCACGGTTTAGGGTTTGGATGCTTACTCTCGCACAAGGCAGGCAAGGCTGGGTTTAAAATTTAGGGTTTGCGCTTGGGGATTGAACTGCCAGTCAAGACGCCCAAGCCCAGCAAGGCTGAAATCGTCACCCCCCCCCCCTCGAACCGGATAGCCCCGACCGGAAGCCGCAATGGCAAATTTGAAGTGGTGTTAGGCTTACTTGTGCGTCTACCCAATCCTTGACCCCCGAACCGAATAATAGCCTCGACCCAAAGCCGCAAACCACGCAAACTATGCATCGGGTGGACACAAGGTTGAATGTCTTTTTCCATAATACCCAACCCTTGAACCCCGACCCCAAGCCGCAAATCCGCCTAAGCATGCCAAGCGTCTTCCTCAACCTCCCCCGACCCACCCGAAGCCGCAAAGACGGTTTAGGGTGGCTTTTTAAAATTTAGGACTTTAGGGTTCCCTATGTGCGGATTTTGCAACCAAATTCCAGAAACCAACACTCGGCCCCCGAACCCTCAGGGCTGAGGGCAAGAGTTAGGCTAGGTCGTCTAGGGTTTGCACTGGGGTCTGTGGTTGAGGGTCTTCCTTGGGATGTAGGGTTTCGGATGGGTTTGGGCAACACCGTAATGTATCCTAAGCCCTGGCTCCCGAGCCCCGGCCTTGGATGTCGACCCTTGGAAGTCCGGAGCGAAGGTCAGCTTGCCCACCTGGGGCCAGCATCTAGGGGGTTGGGATCTGGATTCGGCATAACTACGGAGCTGCTGGGGTCCCTTGTCTAGTTTCAGACTGTTTGGACGTGCAAACATAGCCTTGCAGTCCGCTCGGTAGCAAAAGGTAACCATCGTGGCAGCACACAAACCCTAAACCCTCCTTTTTATGGTATCTCCAAATTAAATCCTTCGGAAGAACCCTGGGACTGGTCGACTCATGTAATCTGGAGAACTTCCTGGATCTCGTGTCAGGAAGTTAGGCTACTGTAGGGTTGAGGATTTCGGGTTTAGGGATTCAGGGTTTAGGCTTTAGGCCAATGTAGGGGCCTTAGTCATTAGAGTAGGGATCTTTAAGAGGGTTCGTTACAAGGGGATCGCTGATAAGGGCCTTAATAATCAGAAGAGGGTTTTGGGGTATATAGGACACCCCCTAAACTAGTTAGTATAGGTAATTATTAAGGCCCATAAAACCGAGATTTCAGAGTTTGCTTTGCGAGCTCTCGAGCCTGAGGTCCTGGGTAAGGCCAGGGCGCTTTCCTGCAGGCTCCGGCTTCTCGTCTGCATCAACCCTATGTTGTGGACCCTCGAAAACCCTACATCCTAAACCCTACACCTTGAAGCCGTACACTTCCAAATCCTGAATCTCGAACCCTGGAAACAGGAAACAGCAGTGCCCCGAAAGTGTCGCCAGAGCTAGAACCCGCCCACGGTGAACCATGAAGGGGCTTTTCGGGCCTTAGGGTTTGTACATGGGCTTAGGGTTTATACAGACAGTGATACTAGGACATTGGTTCGGGCCTTCTGCCGGTTTCATGGCTTGGGTTCGGGGTTGAGTCCCAAACCCTAATCCCGAAACCGAAAACCCTAAACCCTAAAACCCTTAACCCGAAACCAAACCCTTATTCGGTTACATGGTGCGGGATCGTGAAATAGAGGCCAGAAAGGTCACACGAGGGTCAGGGTTGGGGTGTAGATTTCAGATTCGAGGGTTATAGTGGTTTAGGGTTTAGTGCAATTTAGGGTTGTGGAGGTTTGGGGTTTAGGGCAGTTTAGGGCTTTGGCCTTAGGGTGGTGGTGGTGGGCTTAGAGTTGGTTCCTATGAGAAAACCCCCAGGCCTCAGTCCAGCCACCAGGCCTGAGATCAGAAGGGGGCAGCTTTCAGGGTTAGTTGGAAGTTCAAGGCTATTTGGAGGTCAGCTACGGAGTTTCGGGGTTGTGCGTTTTCTTGGGTATGCCGGCCGTTTAAAGGAAAAAAGAAACACGTAGGGTGGAAAGTTTAGGGACAAGGCTCCAGGTTCAATAAGGCGTTCGTTAGCGTCTGTGCAAGGGTTTCGGGCTAAACTCGTCTAAATATCTCTCTTAGACTCGAAACCAAAAGAAGTGTACATACTCATCGATTAAGTAGCTACTCCGAAGGCACCAGGGGCACCTCCGGCACCTCAAAGCGGAAGACACTCGGCATGACACAGTGGCCGAAAGACTGCA